TCATTTGTAACTTGTACACTGGTCAATTGATGCTGTGTGGTTTAGTTATTGCACGTGCAAACACTGATTTTCAGTAAAATCCCTGTACCACACGCCGTTGGTCAGTAAACAACGACGGAGTGTTCGGTTAGCCACGTCCTCATAATGTCTGCGATTTTTTTGATTTTTTTTTCAGTTTCGAGGTCGCTACGACTGTTGGGGAATCTTCGATCCTGATGCGTCACCAATGATTTTCGAGCAGATTAGATCCGGTGGCGACCATCTCACCCCCAGAAACAGTCCCTATTTAGACTAGAAGGAAGATAGTTATTCAAACACCACTCACCGCCAACTCTTGGGCTACACTTTTAACAACGAATAGTGGGATTGGTTGTAGCATGATAATGCCCCAACTGTTCAAACGGCGAGTGTTTTCGGAGAGGAAGGTTGCGAGTGGAGCGCCATAACCACCAGGCCAAGAAACAGCTACAAAACAGAATAAATTGTCGTGACTAATGATGGCACCAGTTGGTTTCTAGTTGTGTCACAAACTAAACTTCCATACGTTCCCAGTCGCCAAAAGCACCTATAGTAATAGTGTATAATGTAGAATAACCGATGATGACTAGTTCCTTCAAAAGATAACCGAAGTGTTATAAAATAGGACTAATAGCCGGTGGCAGATGTCTTTGTTATATAAAGTATCAACAGTAATGGTGTTAATATATAATCCTTTGCAGCGGTTATTTTGTTAAAGGACCTTAGGAATATTGTTGTGTAAATTAGAAAAACAATAGTTGCCATAGTTATTTTGTTAAAGGACATTAAAACATTGTTGTGAAGATTACATAATCCATAGTCACAACAGTTATTTTGTTAATAGACGTTAATAATATTGTTGTATAGGTTAGATAATCCGTAGTCACGATAGACATTTTGTTAATAGACGTTAAGAATATTGTTGTATAGGTTAGATAATCTGTAGTCACGATAGACATTTTGTTAATAGACGTTAATAATATTGTTGTATAGGTTAGATAATCTGTAGTCACGATAGACATTTTGTTAATAGACGTTAAGAATATTGTTGTATAAGTTAGATAATCTGTAGTCACGATAGACATTTTGTTAATAGACGTTAATAATATTGTTGTATAGGTTAGATAATCCGTAGTCACGATAGACATTTTGTTAATAGACGTTAATAATATTGTTGTATAGGTTAGATAATCCGTAGTCACGATACACATTTCGTTAAAGGACATCAAAAGTAGAATTGTATAGATTATATCAGGCATGGCCAACTTCTTCACGTTGGTGGACCTCTTCCTTATCTTGACTCGATTCAGAATATTTGCTTCCAAGAATATGTAAGTTGTACAGATCTTCAGTTAATTATATGATTTTGAATAAATAGCTGAGCTTATTTCTGGAAGAAATAATATCCTGGAAGAGTGGTGTTATATAAATTAGAAGATACGTGTTGACAGTTAGTTTGTTACAGGAAGGGAAGAGTGGCGTTGTGTAAATTAGAAGGTACGTGTTGACAGTTAGTTT